AAACATAAGGCGCATTTTTTTTTTCATTATACTCGCCTGTATCATGAAAAAAAAAGCGCTTTACATTTTTTTACGTCTTTCTTTATCGTTCATATATTTTTCTTAGTACATTTACGACGTTTTAATATATCAGGCACTTCATTTTTACCCTTTTTTTTCTTTTTACTCTTTCTCTGCGCTATACTACACGAACTTTCTGATGAAACAAAAAGTAAATAGATAAATATGTGTGATAGTATCAAATTCAGGACATTAGAAAATATAACAACATGCTTTGAACTTTGTGTTGTACCACGAGCAAAAGCTAAAATCACTGTTACAAAATGTTCCTCTTTCTTTCCAACTTATTGGTCAAATATTTTGCCAACATCAGAAGGTTTTTCAGCCAACTGGATTTTGTCTTCTTGAACTTGTCAATCTTAAGCTTTTAAAACATTTATTTTTAACATCATAAGTAAAAGAATCAGACATTGTTTCATTATAATGACAACGGAAAAAAGAGAAAATGAAGTATATATGTATGCTTCAAAATAGCGGACACGTTAGAAGCTATAGACAACAAATTACACGCAGTATAGAGAGTCTGTTAAATAAAAAGAAAATTGTTCATATCTGATTAGTACTAATAATTATAGAAAATTGTTTCAGTTTATAATTGTTCTTTATGATATTTTGCTTGTGCTTCATGCGATTTCTAAAATAAATGAAGAAATACTCCTTAGACATATTTTATAATTAAGCGAGAAAAGCGTACCTCTTCAATTTTGTCACCAACCGCATTGATACCAGCACCAATTCGTTCTCCAACGCCTAAAATTTGAATATAGAATGCGAACTAGAGTTGATAATATACTTATGCCATATCCTGCGAGATGAGATCGGACGTCAAAAGGGCTCGTCCCTTCAACACATGGTATATATATATCAAAGTTTGAATATTAACTTACGATTGTCACTATCTTTTGCTTTTTCTTTATTTGCTTCAAACGATGCGCCACTTGTTAATTCTTGAGCTTTTTCAGCTACATAATTATAGGCATCTTTTACTTTTTCTGTAACTGTGCCAATAATGCCACTTTCTTCTTTATGTCCTTCTTTTTTAGCTTCATGCGATTTTTCTTCAATTTTATCGGTTCCAGCATCGATGGCTGAGATTTTAAAAATAGAAACAAACAGATGATACGAAGAGGAAACAATAGGTTACACAACTTACCATGTCCAGCTCGATTACCAATCGATCGATTACTATCTTTTGCCGCCTCTTTGTGTGCGTCAGATGATAGACCAGATGTTGTTTCTAAAGAAAAGAAATATTTAGAGAGACTTATAATTATAGCCGGTACTTCTATTGGTTCATCATTTAAAAAGGCAATATAAAAAATTGTCAAAATGTAACCATCAGTAGAAACAAGTTTTTTGCGACTATAAGTAACTCTTTAAATTCTAACGTAGTGTATAAAAAACCTTCAGCATTTTTTTATTTTTTTCAGTACTGTATGTTATTAATTAACTAATTGTAAAGAAAGTTTCATAGCTTCCTTTTTATGACATTGTTCCGTTCTTTTCTCCTATTTTCTTTTCTGAAAAAAAAATATTTATCGAATGTTAAATTTCTTCTCGCTTCTTCCATACCACCGTTAGCACTCATATATGCACACTGACTATGTTGGCATTATACTGCCGTTTATTTGACGCAAGTGCTTTCTGCTTTTATTCGTTCGTTTTATTTCTTTTCATTGCTTTCGAATACATTGCTGCCGTCAAACATGAGATAGAAGTTCAGAACTAAACATTTGTCGAGTAACGGAAAAAAATATGCTACACTATTTATTACTCCTTCATCTCTTTCCGCCTAAAACATATTTACTTTTTGACCTTAGAGCCGTATCAAATAAAGAATATATCTTTTCACATCTTAGCAAATGTCTATTTGGTAAGATGTGAAAAGATAGAGATATTCCTTATTTGATACTGCTCTCTTATTAATTAATACGATGTATATGTATCAAGTCTCAATTCCCTTGACTAAAAATGTGTTATGAGTTAAACTGATATTTGTCTCATAGATTCAGTCTATCGTGTTACCAGTGCAAAATGACTGATCTTGAAACTGATGATAAATTCAACAACGTAATACTTTTCTGCAAAAATTAAAAGAACATTTTTATCTACCTTTAACTTTTTCGGCTACTGCATTTCCGGCTTCTTTAACTTTTTCCATTTTAGATTCGTTAAATTAATATGAAGTTTGATGTAGTAGAAGAGCAAAGAATATTTAATATAAAGTGATTGTAGTTACTTCTTGTAGTAATAGTACGATTAGACGCGAATGAAACTAGTATGAAAATGAAATGATATTTATCTAAAGAGAATGTATAGGCAAAAAAGAATTTTCTTTTTTTTCTTTTTCTCTTATTTCTTCTCTTCTAGTCTATTCTCTTCTCTACTTTTCTTTTCGTTTCTATATATACGTCTAAAAATTCTATAATTCTAAAATTCTATTCTATTCTATTCTTATTCTCTTATAAGTTTTCATTCTTCCTTTCTGTAGAATACTGATGATTTGGAAAGAATAGATTGCAGTCATTGAGTATAATAGTGGGCTCGACCATTTTTTGAATAGCTTAAGAACGAAAAGAGATTGGAAGTTGAGTTTTTCGTCATTTGATAGATGAGACATTGGAGCAACTTATCAGAACGAAAAAAAATTTAAGAATATTTATCTCACCTAAATCAACAAGATCCTAAAAAACTATATCATAGCCCAAAAACGCTTAATACGGATACGCTCGTTTTTGTCATGGTCCAAAGTGTACTCTGCAAAATGGTAGCCAAACGAGCTTGATATTTGTCATTCAGGTGCAGCATTAGATTTTCTAGAAATCCAAGGACTGGTGACTATTGGTAACTTCAAAACGGGATTGATTATAAGTAATAGATCGTGTGGAATTTTGTGATGATGTTTGTTTTTACAGAAACGTTTAAAAAACTTAGTTTTACGGAAAATATTGGTTTTTCTACAATCATATTTCAGTCAAAACCGTTTCAAACGGCGAAAACGTTTTAGGATACACTTAGTTTCATACATTAAATATGATTCAACAATTGGAAAATCGAGAACATCATCGAAACTATAATAGATTTCGAAATGGTTTTCAGAGAACTTCATAAGTACATATATATATCTCGTTTTTCAGTGGAGAAACCATATTAAATTCAGTTGTTGATGACCAGTGCTGCAATTCCACTATGATCTACCTCGTTGTTCTGCCAATCTAATATGCCCTTAAATGAATGAAAAAAAACTGAAAGTTTGATGAGAATGTTTGGCTTGGTTTTGAAATGAATAATATCAATGGAGTTATACACGTAAACTTCTACTCTCTAAAAAAATGTACC